CACAAAAATAGCTTTTAGAAGGTTGTTTACAGCTAAACGGATTGTCTTTTGTTCGGAAAAGATGTCTGAATGGGCATAAGCCTTCAGCAGAAAGGTAAATTTGCCAACTCTTACATCGAGTAGGTGCAAAATGATCCAATCACCCAACTCGCTTGACTACCGCTGCACATTTGCTCACAAAACTCTACACGTATCCGGCCTATGACCTTTTCTGATTTCTTGCTTGTCATGGTCAAAAAAAGCCTCAAAGTATGACCTCAAAATGTCACCTCTTTTTGCAAAAGGTGACTGCCGAATTGACGACGTTTGCCATTTAATTTTTACAAGTTGAGAAGGGGAGTGAAGTTTCGAGACACCAGCCTATCTTCGCTTCCAAATGTTGGCAGCCAAGCGTAAATAAACAATTCGTTCGCGAAGCCCTCCCTCTATTTTTAGTTGAAAATCAGCCGCAAATGACACTCAATTTCATATCTAAAGTATTCAGAGCAAAACACAGAGGAATGAACCGATCAACAAAGAGAAATCAACTTCCGGTAAAGTGACAGCCGCTTAAAAACGGCTGGGGAAATGGTCACATCACGTCTAAGCGCTTGATGGAGTGAATTCTTAAAGGGCGCAAGACTTAGGGGAGAGAGATGAACCGCCAAGTTTCCACCTACTTTGAGCTAGATCAATCACTTCAATATACATCAGTCCATGTTGATCCAACTGAAACAAAATGAGAATGGTTACCACTACGACATTACAAACGATGGGAATTTGCTTTTTGGTCAAACCCAGGAGAACAATCACAACCGCTGTGACAAACGATCAGTATAGGTAGGCAGGAAGAAGGCAACCATTTTCACACCCCGAATGTTGGAAAGTAAGGATTCAAAGCGAGTGCTTTATCCGCCTATCCCTTCTCTCAACCATTGCCCCCTTTTCTTTCCTTGGCTTTGGCCTACGGCTCACATCCCTATTCATCCGATCCCCCCATTGTCTGGACTTCTCCTCGCTCATATTTTCACATTCTCCCACACACAGTAATCTATCCAAACTGAAAGAACTTCTGTTGAATAAGTCAGAGATATCAGCAAGCACCACAAATGCACTTTTCAAAGGTATCCTGCGCTGTTTCACGCCGTTCACTCGTAAATTAAACAAGGTTTTCATGTTTAGAGATCCGATGCCTCAGCATCATAATGCCCTCCGTTCAACTCGTCGGCAAAATTAAAACTGCCTTAACCTTTAGAAGTCGAACGCCCAATTGCTAGATTAGGGAGATGGTCGAGGATTTAGAAATTTACAAGAGAAGTTTGAATGAGTAGGGCAGAAGCGGATGGGTGAGTAGGGAGGACGAAAGAAATACTAACCTCTAATTCACGTTCATCAAAGTACTGCAGCCATTGAAGCGGAAAGACATCGGAAAAACCAGCCATGAAGGCCTCCATTTGTTCCTCTGTTCCTCGTGAGAACCGCCAGTTCACCATCAAACTAAACACAATCGAGAGAAACTTCCAACATTATTGTTGGTAAATGGTTAATGCCTAATGCGACTCTCTAAACTCCAGATTCTCCAACTAATTAGGAAAGCAAATGTAAATTCGCTGATGCTAACACAAGTGACCAATCAAACACGTGAATAAGATGTCCCAATTTTTCAAAGCTATTCTTTGGAAAAGGAAAAACGACGTGTCACTCGTCAGTTTATAGCTTCAACGAAAAAAAGTCCAATGGCTCAAAAACCCACCTCTGACCATCTATAGCAAGTGTTTCTCGCTTTACGAAAAAGGTGCGCTGCCAACTGCAAACTATCCATAACTCAGATCAACAATCACATTGAGAAAAAAATCCCCCACAAAGACATCTCAATCGTTTGCCCGAAAATTTATGACAGCCCTAATGTTGTGGGCTTGAGTACGGTCTCGCAAAGCGCATATATTTTCCAAAGCACTCAGCATCAACAAACTTCACGGTAGCACAAGCCTTTTCCGAGTCCTCCACATTTCAATAAGCCACCACATGTAAAAAGTACACAAGCCGACAAACACAGAAGCCTTCAAGAGCGCCACATAGTCAGTGTGAGGCTGTGGTTCTCAGCCCACGGTGCAGTCACTTCGACTAGAATGTAGTTAGTGCGTGAAACGTTCAATCGCGGACAATCAACACACAACTTGCAGCGGAATAGTAGCAGAAATAAGTTCAGTCTGTAGAAGCGGTGAACATATTCTTGTCTATTGCCGGAAGAGACAGCACAGTTGGCCTGAAAAACTTCCACAATTTTGTGGTCAAGTCCAAAAGTCCAAAGTACGCTTTCACCACAAAAAAGACCCCTTACAAAGTTCCCAGATGTTGTCACTTTCGTGACTATTTTTAACATCAGTTGGAAAACCGCCTCTCGCCCATTCCCGCCTGACTGGTTGCGACAGTAGATGTGACGAAGTTAACCTGGTGACTCAGGCCCAAATACACAGATGGGGGATCCAGATGACCCGTAACCGTAGCAACTCCGAGTCAGCAATTACCAACACGGATCATAGCACACGCCATTCAAAAGGATTACGAAATGCACTCATAGTTGTCCTGACAATTGGATAAAAAGTCAGAAAATCTGTTTCACTTGTTCATAAACCTTCAAGTCAAACCATTGAATTGTGGAAGTTTAAGACATTCCAACTACAGGTAAGTGGAAGGACGCACCGAAAATTCCACGCAATATGTACTCAACACGGAAAACCTGTCAGTATTGGCTAGCACAAAAAAACCACATTAAGTTTTACACAGCCACTTGGTTGTGCGATTTTGGCTGAAGTTTGCTTTCACACCTCTCTTGCTACCAATGTCATTCACGCCCTTAGGAGCGCTAAGTACGTGGCAATTAGAAATGCCAACATCACCAATTCCAGTCCTCGTGATCTCACACCTTCGCACTTGGAGAAAAATGGGAGGCAGAGTGATGTACCACCTTTCTTGTACTTTAGTTAATTAAAAGCAGTGTTTTCAACTCCTCCAAAACTTGTCAACGATAAAAGCACAGCAGTCTACGTAGTTCCAGTTTATTGATTGCTTTGAAAACCATGAAAGAAAAACTATTCTCCATTATGGATTTCAAATTAGGTGACTCCCGTTTCACCACTGCTTCCTTGGTGGCACTATTTTGTTCTGTTTGAAAGCCATTGGACTCAATCGCCCTTTCGACTGCCCTCACGGATGGTTTTGAACAACACTTAAAA